AAATGAAGCCGCAATTATTTTAATCGCGGCTTCATTTCCCTCTTCTGATGTGGCTAATCTACATGCCTCCGTCGAAGGAGGCATGGAGTCTGGACACAGCCTTCCTCTTCTCCTAACTTAAAGCAAAGTCAGGGTTTGGTTGTGACAAGACAATGCAAATTCCAGAAAAAAGACAGTTTTCCATAACATGCAAAGGGATGGGGCGGCTGTTTAGAGGGCCACAATATGAGAGTTGCCACCAGAAGCAACAAGTCTACAAGAAAGAGCTATCCTGAAGAGTGTCTATTGGGGCAGTCGCACGAAGGGAGCGGCCAGCAGGACTGAGGCTCTGCCATCTTGCGTCCCAGAACACCCTTGCCCCAAAGTTTCTTCCACTCTGGCTCTTAGCCAGTGCTGGAGAGAGGGAAGAAAAAAGATTCCTGGAAATTGGGAGGGTCTCTGGGGGAGGAAACAGACCCTTAACAGGCTGAGGAAGGACCGGGGGTGGGAGAGAACAGGCCTTTGGTGGGCTGGAGGAGCGTGTGGGGGAGAGAATAAGCCTCTGGTGGCCTCAAGCGGGGGAGAGAACATGGTCCTGGCAGGCATGGGGGGAGATCCCCCACCCTGAGCCACTCCTCACCCCCAACCCTCACTCTCACATGCACCCCGCCCACAGCCTCCCACCCCTCCACTCACAGTTCCAGGGCCCTGCCCTGAAGGAGCCAGGCAACACTGGATAAGTCTGTTAGTTTGTGTATAAAGTTGTTAAGACTCAGATATATTTTTTCCAATAATGTTGCAGTAGATATATTTTTAAAGCCTTAGAAGGGAATATTTAAAAGCACTCTTGTCTGGGGTTGCCAGGTGTCCGGTATTCAACCGGACAGTCTGGTTTTTGGGCCCTCTGTCCAGTAAAAAAAATTCAGAAAATACCGGACGCGTGCAATGTCCAGTATTTTCTGGTTTTCCAGCTGGGTGCCCGATGGAAGCCTGGCAGGGGCGGGGGGAGTGCCTTGGAGCTGGGGCACGATTGGTGCTGGGAGCCTCTGGGTTTGCGGGAGGAGGAGAAGCCCTGTCGGTGCTCCTGAGCGCTGTCCAAGCACATTGTGGAGCTGTAGCCGGACTCACTCATGCTTTGTTGGGACCGTGCGCGGGTCAAGCAGCACTCTGGGATCTGCATGTGCCTGGATCAGTCCTGCTCCCTGCTGGCCAATTCTCTCCCTCCCCGGCCAGCCCTGCTTCCTACCAGCTGGTTCTCTTCCTCCTGATCTCCCCCGGCCAGCCCTGCTCCCCCCGGCCTCCCATCTCTCCCAGCCAGCCCTGCTGCCCCCGACCCCTTCCCCTGCCCGCCCTG